ATCATCATTACTTGAGTGTGGCGTCTCTTCAATCTCTGGGTTGTTTACTATCCCATTTTCTTCCATCCACTCATCGTACCAATCATCACCAACATTATACTCGATCATCTTTTCTTTACCCTTCGTTGAAATTTGATTTAAAGGACGATCATGATCTGACTTTCGAGCCGGGCACTCTCTTGCATAGTGATTGCCCCTACAGATGTGACATCGATGAGGACCTTGAGTTGTTCCCCTCTTGCTATGGCAATTATTTGCATAATGACCAGTTTTTCCACAAATGTAACATACAACTTGGTTCTTACTCTCAGGGTTCTTGTCACCCTGATTTATTTTAGGTTTAAAGGCCAGCTTGCCTCTATTTTCAATTTGACCTAGCCGAATATTGGCTTTATCTCCCCTTTTGTTGTCAAAGTTGTAGTTTACCCGAAAGTCTCTGTTGGGATAATATTTGTTTGTGTTATGAAAAGCCTTGAGACTGTGGTTGGAGATGAAATCGTTGATCAGTTCTTCCAACGACCATTGTTTGGTTTTTGAGGTATGTGAGGCCTCATAATGCCATCTGTGGGCCCTTTTCTCGACCGCACGTTTGAATATAAGTATTGTGATATTGTCAGCTAACTCCTGACCAGTTGATTTAAAGTCTCTAACGCAGACTCTAAATTTTGTCACGAAATCGATGGCGTTACCTCCGTCGTAAGCCAGCTCTATTAGGTCATTGAAAAAGTTTTCAGCCTGTATTGTGCCAGACTGTCGATATGTCTTGTTGAGTAATTTCATCATATCCGATCCGCTGCTTAAATCTTCAATGATTCTTCTTGGGTTATCGGTCACTGATCTCCTGATCATTGATCCGAAATTTGCTTTATCTAGGTTTGTTAATTTGATCCCTTTAACATACCCTATCGACTGCAAAGCGAACATCACGTCATTTTTATAAACTCCCCAATCCTGGGAGCCGCGTAAGAAGTGGTCCTTGTGTGGTTTCCACTGTAATTGATCCCACCTGAGATTTATTTCTGCTGTGGTTACTTGTAATGTCCTTTGAGGAGGACTCCACCAATCGTCGTCGCTGTCGGACTGTTCGCTCCTTTTCGCCGAAGAACTAGACTCGTTATCGACATTCTTCCTTCTCACATTGGATTTCCTATTGGACCTTGACTCGTCCATCTTGTAATTGCTGGGCCTTGTCTTGCCCGAAATACTTGCGACCGATTGATCGGACTCAAGATTGTTGTCTTTCTGTTGTGCAATAATGTCGCGATCAGCTTTAGACAGTTTTCCTGACATTTTCGTTGTGTGAAGAAAGTAAAGGAGTTCTTTTGATCGTAAAAAGATAATGCTACCATATAAAAACCTTTCTCAAAAGGTGAAGTTATATTACCCTAACTCGGTATATATAAATCTAAGTATACAAAAGTTACACATATTCCAAGTATAGAGTGTTCCCCCATAAATCAACCCATTTAGCGTCGCTCGCTTATTAGGGCTAACATAGGACATGCAAGGATTAAGGTTTACACAATTATTATTTCCCTTGCACTTTTACATTTATAATATTTAACGTCGTGCCCGCGCACGGCACGTGAGTTCCTCACGTACCGGTTAGCCCAGTCTAAATTAAACTACCCGACGTGTTGGCGCCCACACAGACCCACCAAAGCAAACAATAGCTAGGATCTTACCATCCTACGCTCGAAGATTATAGTGTATACGTAGGTCGTCCGTCCAACGAATCTCATGCTATACAGTTGGTACTAAATCAAGAAAAGATTTTACAAAAAAAATAAAAAATAAAAGAAGATTATTTACATCAGATCGTGATTTCGTTCGAATCAGACTGTTCTTTGTGCCCTTTTGAAGAAATCTGTGACACGCACCCAATTATTGAATGCATCAACTCCCTCCGTCGAAGCAAGTGCCCAGGACACGCTGGGATTAGAGTTTTGTGCCCTGTGGAGCTGAGCTTGGTATTGCCCGAGGTGGCAATAGAAAAAGTGGTTTGGGGACTTCTCTTCTCCGCATGTGCAGGTTAGAATGGCGTTTTCATGCTGAAACCGTCGGTGGTAGTCCGCGAAGTCGCCATGACCGGACCGTGAAGCTAGTAGATATCCTAATGCGCGTCGCCCCAGACGGGCGGGCTCAACGGTGAATTTCGTATTAGGGCTAATTCCTAGTTCTCTGTACCTAGAAGGGGCATTTTCTGCCCAATATAGTGCGACTGAAGCCTCGTATTGGGCTTTGACTTCTCTCCTTGCCCTCGCAATGGAGATTTCTAAGTGTGGAGCTGGAGCTGCACAGGCAGCTTTGGCAAGCGCGTCGGCTGCTTCGTTCCCGAGAATACCTGCGTGGCCTGGGCAGAGATTGTAGAATATTGGTACTATCATGCAGGCCAGCTTGTAGATACACACGTGACTAAAAATTATGTACTTAGTTTCACTTCGGTAGTTACATGAATCAATGCGCTCTACAACCTCAACGACTGAGGGGTCATTATTTCCTTAATAGGTTATGAGCCCGGATTGTCGCTCGCGCAATTACGTTGTATCGCCCGGAGTTTGATACTATCTTCGTTATGGGCAAGTAGAAGGGCACATGCTCTACTTGCGCCAAATTAATCCAACTAGGAAGCCGTCACCTTCTTGAACCCAAGACAAGTCCATCACCTTTGAGTTGAAATCTCTAAAGAAAAGTGAATTGCAGTCGCATGAGAAGACAGGAGGTTATCGTCTTCATCAGGGAAAGCACAGGTCGAGTGCTGAAGATTGGGGTCGCTGCGAAACCCTCGTGAGGATTGCTGGTTCCTAAACGTACCGGTAGCCAGCCCGTCGATAGACTCTAAGAGAGAGAACCCATGGGTCAAATTAGTCGACCCGAAAAATCTTAAAAAAAAGAACATGAACCTGGCAGCTCCAGTACGAAAGCTGCTTCATCTATTACAATCTGATAGCTACTTCACGACAGTTGTTACAATTATAATTATTCGACTCTTTACCGAAGCTTGTCGAATCCCCAACCTGACAGCTCCTATCCGAAAGCTGTGGCAAAAATTTTCGCTGCTGATTTCCGACAGCAGTTCGAACCTCAACCCAGCAGCAACGCTTCGAAAGCTGCCATTTATACTCTCAAGACTTCCCTTCTTAAAGTCTTCGCCTTTATCTAAGCTGAGGGAACTTCGTCAACTCATCCGACAACAAAAAGTCTCTACAATAGCCTAAGGCTTCAAGGTCAACACCCTCTAAACGGCTATTATCGCTTAAGTTTATATTGTCGTGGGGAGTGTGACGCCCCGACATTTTAGTGGCCACGTGGTCGTCGGTTCAATAGTTGGTAAGCCGACACAGGGTCAATCCAGGAATTCCAACGACTAGTTTCACACACACGAGTCTTGTGTGTGACAAATCACGATACGAAAGGTTTGTCATGGATATTGGTGTTGGAATAAATGACAACTATGAGGGATTTTATCATGTGTAAACCTAATTTCTAAGGCCAACTTGTAGACAGGTTCAGGTAGCATTTTCCTTACGTGTTTGTTAGATAGAATATACATAGACATTTTCTACAAGAACAATCTGTTACCAGAACATTTGTGCTAGCACATTAAATCTCCAAGCCGCTGTTATACCGACAATTGGTTTTCATGCGAAACCCTTGGGTTGTAGGCAATGAGGGACAGGAGGTTTCGTGTTGGCAACTCTATTTCAACAGTTGAACTCTTATGATTTGAGTCCACGCCAGCTTTTGACCACTCGCCAATCGTCTTTTGTCCCTCGAGTTTCCATAGGGAGACTAAGTCAGAAAGTAGAAGAACAATCGGTGACAAAAAGTCAAAAGTAAGATTAAAAGAAATCCAAGTGGAGCTTGGTAATGGTATGAGAGAGCTGTCACACAATATACTCTTGAATAAAAGTCTTTGGAAGGGATACACTAGCGGGGCATGTTGCTTGTAGAGGGAAACGAGACAATGGAACACTAGTGATCGGGATGGAATAAACACCGGAACAACCACGGCATGGAAACTGGGGAGTGTATTTGAGAGCTGAGAAAGGTTGACACTAAGACGCCAAAATACTGGGGGAGCCTTTGAACTCAACGAAAAGACATTAAAGGGTTACTCTGGACAAGCTTAGGACTCCGATGTTTGTGAGGGAAAATGAGATGAGATGAGATGAATGAATTCCAAGAAATACCGAGCTTGGATTAATTCATCGAAAATTTAAAGAACAGTTTTGGAGTTGACAACCAACCATTCAAGCAAACTTCTAATTAAGCAAAGATACAGGAAGACAAGTAAATGCCCAATCAATCTAAGGGAGATTGTTAGAACTTAGAATAATAGGGGCTATCAAGTAGATCACCTTGTTGATACACAAGTGACTATAAATTCTGTACTTATTTTCACTTTGGTATTTACTTGAATCAATGCGCTCTACAACTTCAATGACTGAAGGGCCATTATTTCCTTGATAAATTATTATTATTTGATTTTCTTTCATCTAGCCCAATTTGGCGCCTTGTCGGCCAATGCAGGCGACTATGAACCTATCTAGAAAGGAAATAATGACCCCTCAGTCATTGAAGTCGTAGAGCGTATTGATTCAAGTAACTACCGAAGAGAAAATAAGCACAGAATTTATAGTCACTTGTGTATCAACAACGTTGTCTACTTGATATTCTCAATTATTCTAGCCTCTATCCCTTGCAGGATCTGCAACAATACGAAATAGTCATTATTCACACAGTGACACATAACTCTGTTGTCAAAGTAACTCTGACTCCAATTAAAACCACCCCTCTCACAAACATTTCTCCTTCTACCCACACTATTCTAAAGCCTAAGCAGAATATATCCAGCATTGCTAAGCTGTGCATAAAAGAGAACCGCGTCATACAATCGGCGCGTCTGCCAATGTGGGAGCTACAGGCTCAACGCCTTCCCACACACCCCTCCTATCATCCCAGCCAAACTCCTTACGACCATGGCATCGCTCTAGAATATGACGAGCTCCCAGACGAACCTACAGATGATCAGTTCGACGCGCCCAACCCATCTGGCTCTTTAAGAGAGGCACTGGGAAGAAGTGTTGCAGCAGCAGAAATCCGAGCGAAGGAAGCTGAATCATTATTTGGTAGTATCGCCCCGCAATTGGAAAATTATTGGGCTACACCTAGTCACAACTCACTCCCTGTTAGCCAAAGTTCGGCCCTCAAAAACTTCTGCAAAGATCTAGCTGAAGTGCTACCCGTAACTTTGATGCCTACATAGGCGGAAAACTGGTATCAAAAATCGAACCAACTGCTGAGCCTTGCCGAACTCTGCAAGTGCCGAAGACTTTATCACACGCTAAGGTGGCTCGCCGACTCCAGGGCTTCCGCACCAAAAATATACATAGTAGTAGAGTCCAGCACGTCCTAGCCCAAAAACACAACCGCAACGACATCGCACTGATGGTCGTCTGTTTGTCCGCATATCTGATGGAGATAAGCTCGGGGGTATCTCAGCGTACGCTATTCAGTCTCACCTGAAAGCTAAGCTAGAAAACAAAGGGGGAGATCTAGTCAACGTACAGTCCACAAATATTGGCTTCGCCCTTTGCCATAAAGACGGAGAAACCTCTAAACTTAAGGAGGAAATCTCAAAGGTGAGTATATTTGATTATTTCGCAGTCGAAAGTTCTTCACCGTGGACTTCATATAGGATTAATAATGTCCCACGAACGTTTGGAACCATCAACGACGAACTCAAATACTCCCTTTTGTTATTGTTGGAAATGGAGATACGGGGTGTTGTGGACGTACGGGCCCTCCATTTCGTCTAGGTTCCCGACACGATCTCGTGTGTATTTAAGAGGTTGAAATAGGTAATAAGGTAGCACTTCAGGCTACCTATTGGATATATGAGCGGCTGTATGGCGTGGGCACAAGGAGGTTATTGGGGGTTTTCTATGCCTAGATGACGCCATGCTCGTTTTTTGTTATGGTTTGACCGTTGTTTGAGCTTAGGTGGATACCTAAGCCTGTCACTAAGAACTCTTACTATGAGGCTGTATGAGGGGGAGATGAAGCTGAACGAATCGGGACTACTACTCAGGAGGCTGAAGCGTTATTACAACTTAGTGACACCTGGAAATACGTGGCTGGGTAAGAAGTATTTTGCCTAAGGACAAGTCACTAGTCTGTAGATTCACGAGGAGGATTAACTCCCATAAATACCTGTTAGTAGTAGCTAGAGTTAGCTTTTCTCCTCATATAGTTTATTAAATCGATTTATTCATCACCAACTCGGTTTCCGTCACATTTATGCTGTGGCTTAGGCTCTGTGTCGCTTACACTTGTACTTGTAGCGCACACTTCCCACACTTCTAGCTGTAATCCGAACATGACACTCTGTTAGTCAACTTTAACTTTCGTTCCATGAATATTGCGCCCATTTCATTGCGCGATATTTCCAACAGTTATGGACAAGGACGAAGACAGATGCTGATAATGAAGACGAGATTTTCAGATTGATGATTAGATTCTAAAATATAAGTAAATTTCAAGACAAAAAGCTACAGTACAAATTTAGTCCTAGAGCTTCCTTCAGTTCACGATCCAAAACTAAAACCAAGGGTGTAGTAGTCCCCGGCCATAACACATCTACTAGCTAGTACTCCGAATGGCAACTGTTGCTATCACAACACTGTAGCTAGTACAATACCTAAATTTGTTATTGTATGCACGTCATGACTCGGTTGCCTGGGTGCGACGCTACATCCCAGAGATGGTTTATGACACCTTCAACCAGTCACGGCGGTTACTATGCACGAAGCACTCTCAGCTTACGCAGGAATAGCCCCGGTAGCCATTCTTGTGTCGTGCGATAATGAGAACTCAGAATTATCCTCAACGCATGGATTGCTCGCTCTCCAGAAACTCACCAACGCCTTCCTCGTGTTCTATTCTTGTTTGGTTGCAGTAAGATCGCAAAAACCCTCCCTCAGCGCTACACAGCTACTCAGTGCAATAGGTGCTGGATGTAAGAGTCAGAAGTAGAATTGTATTCAAGTTGTACTGTAGGCTGTATTGAAGATTGTGAACCCTAGAAAGCAGGCAAAATAGAAATGTTCTCCCTTATATACATGATGGGTGGTCAATGCTTATGATAAAATACCTTATTTCCTAATCAGTCCTGGCTCGTTCATCCATGATCTAGCCTTAGGTGCCTTAGGCCCAAGCCTATGACACTGGCTATGGCATAATACCTGAACTTGTGCGTCCGCCCTCTGGTGCCGCCTATGTGGTTCCGGCACGCATACTGAAAACGATCATGGTAACCACTGCGCCGCCACAGCTGAGCACACCTGTCCACCTAGATGCGTTCACTGCCACAGCCCTCAAGCCGTAGATGATGCCAAGTGTGAGCTCAAGCCTAAAACTACGGTCCCACCTTTGAACAAAGCTCAGATGAGTGTCGTCCGAAAAGTCAATTCAGATGCCCGCTCGCGCAGACAAGCAGAAGCGGGCTGTGCGAAGCCCCTTCCACAAACCATCTCAGCGGAGGGCAAGACTGAACACCTGTCAGTGGTGCCCTCTACGAACCTGGGAGTGAAATATTCTCCCAGTGCTAAGTTCATTCAAATTCGCAATACCGAACAAGTTGGCCCACGAGGCAATAATTCAAATAACTCCACCACGTCGTTTTTTCACTCCCAAAAAGTCTGATTCCTACCAAAGCCTCATTAATTCTACAAGTACGACCTAGTACATCCTCATTCCAATGATCATACCTCTCGCCGACTTTCTTTGGCCTGAGCCGGTCACCAAATATATGCCCATGCCAATATTTACGCCCGACAGAGGAAACAAAGTGTGGCGCACAAATCTGAGAGATAGCTCTTTGGGATGGACGTGAGAGGATTCAGGACAAGTTCACAAGATGGCACAGAGCATGGATACAGTCTCGAAGGGCGTGAAATTTCGAATTTTGGCAAGTAGTTTTTACAAATTGAGCTTTGTGCGCGCCAAGGCTTCGGTTGAGAGAGTACAGGCGACACTACAAATACCGCCGTGGTTGGATGGTGCGGTGTTACTTAGTCCTGACCGGTTTCTCAAGTAAGGTCCGGATAGCTAGGACACATATCCCACTTGAGACAGTAGATCGCTGGTTCAAATCTGGCTAAACTAAACTACATTTCTCGCGTCGCTGGTGTACATGGATGACGAAGGCATGCTTGGATAATCAAAGATTTTGAAATTCCATTTGGTGGGTACTTACGGAGGAGGGTCGACTGTTTGTGTAAGCGAACATACCTCATAGTGGTATTTGCAAATGAAATCCAGAGTATGAGTGTCTCTAACGTTAAAAGAGTCATCCAACATTTATACATAGTACCGGTCATGTGTCATAGCTCCATAGCTGAATACACTTAAATGATTTAAAAAAAAAAGCCATCTCAGCAGCACTTAGTGACAGGCCGTCATCATCCCAACACCTCAGCCCTGCCGGACCAAGGATAGCACAAAATACACAAGAAACAATTTCCAAGAACCCCTTCAATGCCTTTTACGTCGAAGAAGATCAGAGAAATGACAAAATGGAAGCATAATGGACGGCTATAAGTCCAACAAAGCTTCGCCCAAGCCATTAAAGGTCTTTTACTTGAATGTCGGCAGAGATACTCTTTCGCATGAGATCGCCCTCAACGAAGCTTTTACTATATTAGCAGATACTATCTTGATTTAGGAATCTACCTTTTTCGTGATCGCGCTCGACGGATCACAAAGTACCACACATCATTTGAGACTTTCTCTCTTATTGATGACTGTTCAACCACCAGGCCTAGAGTGATCTCCTTCATACGGAAAGGGGTCGGACTACGTGCAGACCAAAAATATAAAAACCTCTCCGGCGACATACTTACTCTCCGTCTGAAATCACACTCAGGGAAAGCCTTGCAGATCATCAACATTTATAACGCATCGCCAGGCTCCACCTGTGGTAGCGCTTTACACCCTCTTCTCACACTCTCTATTCCAACCAATTGCAGCTCCATTGTGATAGGGGACCTTAACTTTCATCACGTAAGGTAGCAGCTTTCCTGGCCAAGCAGTTCCTCAGCGGGTGCTGAAAATTCTTGGAATGGGCAGATAAAAACAACCTTGTGTGAGTGTCCAGAAAGAGCACGAGCTAAGCGATGACCATGTCGAATTAAGCAGAGACTCAATCATGATTGTAATATATAAGATTCTAAACTAAAGAAGAGAAGGAAAGGAAAGCATCTATAGATCTATAATAGTACATAATTTACACTTAGCCCGTGCATTCCATACAGGGGATCCAACACAGTCCTTGACACATCGGCGATTTGCACAAACAATAGTCACAACCATAACTCCATTACACATACATCACACACAATAAAGCACTTGATTCGAGTGATACTATCGCATTCTACCTACGACATTTTACTGACAAATTCATCTCTCAATCACCCATGCCGCCCCAGTCCTCCGCAGAGGCTGGCCCCTGGCTCCCCCTCCCCACTCAATGTTCGACGCGTCAAGACGTCGAAATGGTCCTTAACGGGCCACAACCGCCATCACAACCACCCACCCAACAATTTGTAGAGCCAATCTACGAGGCGAGTCATCGAAGCTCGCCCCACCAACAAACTCCGTCGCCTCAAATTGTCGCGACCGAATTCCTCGTCGAACAGGGCAGGATATTCCAGACGCGCTCTGCACAAGCAGAGCGTTTCATCATCGGGTTCTGCAAGCTGTTGGAACCAGTCACTGACGAGAGACTTCGAAAACTCTTTGATCAAGACTTACTGGCCCTTCAGGGCAAGATACTAGAAATTCTATGGGGCAACCCATCTCAAGCAGACGCCAACGCTCCCCCAAAGGCTGCAAGCGGCCATACTAACACATCTAACCCGGCTCAAGTTACAGAGCCTCCAAAACAAAGTCCTGCAAGCGTCACGCGTCCAGTGCTGATCCTTGCCAGAGAAAAGAATAGACCGGCACCACAAAGGCCGGTAGCCACAACGGCAACTCTCCAGCCCAACCAGGGCTCAAATAA